GACACAAAGAAATGGAAAAACGTTCCATGCTCATGGATTGGGAGAATCAACATTGTGAAGATGTCAATGCTACCTAGAGCAATCTACACATTCAATGCAATCCCCATCAAAATACCATCCACTTTTTTCAAAGAAATGGAACAAATAATCCTAAAATTTATATGGAACCAGAAGAGACCCAGAATAGCCAGAGGAATACTGAAAAAGAAAAGCAAAGCTGGCGGCATCACAATTCCGGACTTCCAGCTCTATTACAAAGCTGTCATCATAAAGACAGTTTGGTACTGGCACAAAAACAGACACATAGATCAATGGAACAGAATCGAGAGCCCAGAAATGGACCCTCAACTCTATGGTCAACTTATTTTTGACAAAGCAGGAAAGAATGTCCAATGGCAAAAAGACAGTCTCTTCAACAAATGGTGTTGGGAAAATTGGACAGCCACATGCAGAAGAATGAAACTGGACCATTTCCTTACACCACACACAAAAATAGACTCCAAATGGTTGAAAGACCTAAACGTGAGACAGGAGTCCATCCAAATCCTAAAGGAGAACACAGGTAGCAACCTTTTCGACCTTAGCCACAGCAACTTCTTCCTAGAAACATCGCCAAAGGCACGGGAAGCCAGGGCAAAAATGAACTATTGGGATTTCATCAAGATAAAAAGCTTTTGCACAGCAAAAGAAACAGTCCACAAAACCAAAAGACAACCGACAGAATGGGAGAAAATATTTGCAAATGACATATCAGATAAAGGGCTAGTATCCAAAATCTATAAAGAACTCATCAAACTCAACACCCAAAGAACAAATAATCCAATCAAGAAATGGGCAGAAGACATGAACAGACATTTCTCCAAAGAAGACATCCAAATGGCCAACAGGCACATGAAAAAGTGCTCAACATCGCTCGGCATCAGGGAAATCCAAATCAAAACCTCAATGAGATACCACCTCACACCCGTCAGAATGGCTAAAATTAACAAGTCAGGGAACGACAGATGTTGGCGGGGATGTGGAGAAAGGGGAACCCTCCTACACTGTTGGTGGGAATGCAAGCTGGTGCAACCCCTCTGGAAAACAGTATGGAGGTTCCTCAAACAGTTGAAATTAGAGCTACTGTTCGATCCAGCAATTGCACTACTGGGTATTTACCCCAAAGATACAAATGTAGGGACCCGAAGGGGTACATGCACCCCGATGTTTATAGCAGCAATGTCCACAATAGCCAAACTGTGGAAAGAGCCAAGATGCCCATCGACAGATGAATGGATAAAGAAGATGTGGTATATATACACAATGGAATATTATGCATCCATCAAAAGGAATGAGATCTTGCCATTTGCAACGATGTGGATGGAACTGGAGGGTGTTATGCTTAGTGAAATAAGTCAATCAGAGAAAGACATGTATCACATGACCTCAGTGATATGAGGAATTCTTAATCTCAGGAAACAAACTGAGTGTTACTGGAGTGGTTGGGGGTGGGAGGGATGGGGTGGTTGGGTGATAGACATTGGGGAGGGTATGTGCTACGGTGAGCGCTGTGAATTGTGCAAGACTGTTGAATCATAGATCTGTACTTCTGAAACAAATAACGCAACATATTTTAAGAAAAAAGAAAAAGAAGAAGATAACAGGAGAGGAAGAAAAGGGGAGTATGTCAGAGGGGGAGCCGAACCATGAGAGATGATGGACTCTGAAAAACAAACTGAGGGTTCTAGAGGGGAGGGGGGTGGGGGGATGGGTTAGCCTGGTGATGGGTATTGAGGAGGGCACGTTCTGCATGGAGCACTGGGTGTTATGAACAAACAATGAATCATGGAACACTGCATCAAAAACTAATGATGTAATATATGGTGATTAACATAACAATAAAAATTTTTAAAAAATTAAAAAAAAAAGAATTGTATTTACCAGGAAAATGTACTAATTTTAAACTTGAATGCAGTTAGTAACATGGCTTCAAAACATGAAAGGCAAAAATTTATAGCATTATTAGGCAAAAGAATGGACAAATTCATCAAAATAGTGGGAGTCATTAAAACATTTCTTCTTATAATTGTTAGATCAAAAAAGATAAGTCAATAACCACATATATGTATATATGATTTAAATAATAGAATTGTCAGTGTTGATATAATGAATATGTATATGCATCAACACCTGGAGAATTCCCATTTCTTCAAGTACAAATGGAACACTTATAAAAACTGGTCAGTCTTAACAAATTTTTAAAATCTGGGCATCTTATACAATATTTTCTAATTTTAACACAAGTTACATTTCAATTTCAGAACTACTAAAAAACTCATGTATTTGGAAATTAATTTCAGTTAGATGAAAAGAGCAAATTTTAATTGAAATTAAATTTTTATTCCAGTATAGTTAACATACAAGTGTTAGTTTCAGGTGTACAATATAGTGATTCAACGCTTCCATGTATTACTCAGTGCTCATCAAGATACGTGGACTTTTAATCCCCTTCAACTATTTCACCCATCCCTCTACCAACTTCCCTTCTGGTAACCATCCATTTGTTCTCTGTAGTTAAGAGTCAGTTTTTTGGTTTGTCTCTTTTGTGTGTGTGTGAAATGAGCAAAGTTTTAGAAAAATTTAACTTGTCCAAGAGGAAATAGAGACCAAATATCTTTAACCATTAAGGAAATAGAATCACTTAAAAAATTCTCCACAAAGGAAACACCAGATCTAGATAATTTTTCAGTTTTGCCAAATAAAGAACAGCTAATTCTAAACCTAATACAGATTCATAGAAAAGAACTAATTCATTCATTAAGAAAAGACCAGTAAGGGCGCCTGGGTGGCTCAGTTGGTTAAGCGACTGCCTTCAGCTCAGGTCATGATCCTGGAGTCCTGGGATCGAGTCCCACATCAGGCTCCCTGCTCAGCAGGGAGTCTGCTTCTCCCTCTGACCCTCCCCACTCTCATGTGCTCTCTCTCTCTCTCATTCTTTCTCTCAAATAAATAAAAAAAAAAAAACTCTTTAAAAAAAAAAAGAAAAGACCAATAAAACCAAAGACACCATGAGTAAGACTACAGTCATATATGCAAAAAACTTAAATAAAATATCAGTAAATGAAATCTAGCTATATATGAAAAAGATAATCGTTAAGCAAAAAAGTTGAATGGTAGTATAGTGTGTGTGCACACGTGTGTGCACATGCACACACATACACACCCCAGGTCTCCTGGAACATTGTTGACTGTGCCCCCCAGTGGTCATCATTTCCTGGGGTAACTCAAAGGGGTCTAGTAGGGTTAGGCACTAGGCAATGGGAGAAGGAACCCTTGGTCTGTAGGGCTTTTAAGATGCATGATTGGGAAAATCATGATCTTTTGTCATGATTAAGGGCTGGCGCTCAAGCCTTTCTGCCTGATGTAACAAAACCTTAGCCTTCTTCCCTGTTTTTCCATCTTAGTAGTTATCAGTTGGGAGAATAGTGGCCTCTCAAGCACCCTGTGATCAGAGTTCTAGGGTCAAGCTTTGTGGTTACAGCTATACAGTGTGGCACTTTACCAGAATTGACTATCTTACGGTTTCCATGGTGGCCATGCTGCAGGGAATCAGTCTTAAATAAGTCAGTCCTTAGTTCTCATAAAACAATGTGATAGAATTGGATTTATTCCTCCCAAAATGCAAGGTTGATTCTACATTTGAAAATCTGTTGAGTGCCCAGATAAACAGATTAGTATGATCATCTCACTGACCCTGCCTCCCGCCAGAGGACTAGGTCAGACTGTCCTAGCAGTGATCACAATTGAAATGAAACTATTATTTGTGTAATTGTTTAGTATCCGTTGTCCCAAACAGACTGTTTTCTCCATCAAGGCAGAGATCTCACCTACACTGTTAATTGTTATAATCTCGGTATTTAGCAGTGAACCTGGTACATGATACATGTGGTCATTGATAATATGTTGTGTGAATGAATAAATGGGTCAAAGGTTGAACTGAATGACTTAGATCCCTCCGTTGATCTTGTATTCTATGGAAGGACATTTATTCTTTCCTCCTGTAATGATTTCCCCTAAGCATGAGTTCTGCTAAGGTTAGTGACCTGTACTGATAGTTCAGGCTGAATAAGGGAGAGAGACTTCACAAAAACTATCTGGGATATTATTTCTGTGTCCGGTCAACAGATGGAAATACACAACCTTATTTTCTGCTGGAGAGTAGAGGAGACCCCTGACCAGAGCTAGAGACCATTCTCCCTCGAATTCTCAAGAGTGCCCAGCTGCTGTGTGTCAGTCTTTCTTCCCATCCTTATTCCTTTTCTTTCTTCTCTCCCTGTTATCTTCTGTCAGAGAACTTCCCTCAGTGTGTGCTGGAGATCTCTGATCAAGAGGTGTTGGAATGGTATACTGCCAAAGACTTCATTGTGGGGAAACCACTCACTATCCTCGGGAGAACCTTCTTCATCTATGATTGCGATTCTTTCACTCGACAGTATTACAAAGAAAAGTTTGGAATCTCTGATTTACCACGTATTGATGTAAGCAAGAAGGAGCCACCTCCTGTGAAACCGGTAATGGAACACTAGTTCCGAGTGTAGTGCGAGAATTAATCTTTTGATATAGAGGTTTAAGAAAAAGAAAAAACAGAGTCATGTGAATACCCAATAAAAAATGGACAAAGCATATGATACAGAACACTTCACAAAAGAAGAAATACAAATGGCTAATGAACATATGAAAAGACCCTCCTCCATGCTCAGTGCAGAGTTTTGCTTCAAATTCTCTGTCCTTCCCCCTCTCCTTCTGCCCCTCTCCCTCTCGTGCCCCTCCCGCTCATGCTCGCTCTCTGTCTCTCTCTAAAAAATAAATAAATAAATCCTTAAAAAAAAAAAAGACCCTCAACTTAACTGATAATCAAAGAAAATAGAAATGAAAATAATGAGGTTTTGGATCTATTTGATTTAAAAAGACACAATATCCATTGTTTGCCCTGATCTGAGGAAGTGGACATTTTCTTTTCTTTTCTTTTTTTTTTTTTAAAGTAATCCCTACACGCACGATCAGGCTCAAACCCACAACCCTGAGACCAAGAGCCCCATGCCCTACTGACTATGCCAGCCAGATACCCCGAAATGGTCATTTTCATATACTGTTAACAGGAGAGCCAAGAGGAAAAACCTTTTTGAATTTTTTTTTTAAAGATTTTATTTATTTATTTGAGAGAGGGAATGAGATAGAGAGAGCATGAGAGGGGGGAGGGTCAGAGGGAGAAGCAGACTCCCCGCTGAGCAGGGAGCCCGATGCGGGACTCGATCCCAGAACTCCAGGATCATGACCTGAGCCGAAGGCAGTCGCCCAACCAACTGAGCCACCCAGGCGCCCCAAGAGAAACCTTTTTGAAGGACAGTGTCGTCATTTTAATTTTTTCAAAATAAAATATTACCTGTCTCTTGATCTAGAAAATCTGGTTTGGGGACCATAAAGCAATAGGTGTAAGGATATGTGTAAGTAAGGATTACTTATAATAAAGTGTAAGGAGATTGGCAGAATAAACTATAGAACAGTGAGAAGAATGTGAGACTATAAGACTGGTTAAAGAGAAAAAGAGGAAGTCAGTCTCTGCATATCAACATGGAAAAATGTCCATGTTTGTCACATTTGTAAGTGAATGCATTTATGTGATACGGCCCTGTTTGTATAAATTGCTGCATACAGTATCTGCCTACACTTACCAAAGAGAGGACCTGGAGGACTCTCCACCCACACTGTTCGCAGTGGGTAGTTCCACATGTGAGAATGGGAGTGGGGAGGGCAGTGCAAGATGACAAGGGACCTTTCTTTTTATACTCTGTGTGCTTTTAATTTCTCTTCTTATACCAAACCTTGTATTACTTCTGTTTATTATTTTTTATTTTTATTTGTTTAAAGATTATTTATTTGAGAGAGAGAGACAGAGAGAGTACAAGCAGGTGGAGAGGCAGAGGGAGAGGGAGAAGCAGACTCCCTGCTGAGCTGGGAGCCAGACGTGGGACTCGATCTCAGGACCCGGAGATCATGACCTGAGCCGAAGGCAGACGCTTAACCATCTGAGCCACCCAGGCGCCCCATGTAATTTTTTTATTTTGATTAAAAAAGACATCTCTTAAAATTCCAGACAGCTAGGGCATTTCACTATTCCCTGCCTATCTATCAGACCCTTTTACTTAAAAACTATTTGGGAGTGAACAGAAGCTGATTAATGAAGATGTTGGAAGATGGCTTTCTTTCATTGCCACATAGCTTTCCTTAGAATTATACTGAACCACAAAATTTAGTACTTTGTACCACAGAGTCCACTCTGATCTGTGAGTAAGGTCATGGTTCTTTTAAATGCACCCACATGGTAATCGGATAGACTTGAGCCTTCAGAGTGGTTCAGCCACATATTTTAGAAATTCAAGTAAGAATTGCATGTGGGGCCACCTGGGTCACTTAGTCCGTTGAGCGACCGACTCTTGATTTCGGCTCAAGTCATGGTCTCAGGATCGTGGGATGGAGCCCCACGTGGGGCTCTGTACTGGGCGTGAGTCGGCTTGAGATTCTTTCTCTCCCCTCCCACCCGCCTCGCACTTGCGCACCCTCTTTCTCTCAAAAAAAAAAAAAAATTGCCTGTGTTAAAAATTACACATTATTCAGCAAATTCAAGAAGTATCTGATGTGGGGCGCCTGGGTGGCTCAGTTGGTTAAGCGAGTGCCTTCAGCTCAGGTCATGATCCTGGAGTCCTGGGATCGAGTCCCGCATCAGACTCCCCGCTCGGCAGGGAGTCTGCTTCTCCCTCTGACCCTACCCCCTCTCATGCTCTCTCTGTCTCATTCTTTCTCTCTCGAGTAAATAAATAAAATTTTTATTGAAAAAAAATATCTGATGTGTTAAGGCAGCGCCATATCCCAGACTGTCAGCATTGGCACCTGTTCTGTGCATTTGGGGCCAGAGAAATGTATCCAGCCTCTTTGGTCTGTTGCCTATATATAAAATTGGGTATTGATACCTGTGACTTATCTTTATATATAAAGATATATATCTTTACCCCTCTGTGTGTAAAATAAGGTTGTGGCTCTTTCTTTTCAAAAGAAAGCTGTGAATGGAAGGATGGAATTAATGAATTCCTCCAGCGCAGGCGTCTGCCTTCCCCTGATCGGCTGCCCTGCTTCTTGCATTTAGCCTCCAAGTACTCTGAGTTAGCTGTGGTTCTGGCAGCACAGCCTCCTGTTTCACTCTCCTGCACTTTTGCTGATGCTCTTTCATGCGTTTGAACCCCTTTGCCATCATTTCTTTACACAGCTCTTCCTTACCCTTCCAGACTCGGTGTAGGCCTCCTCTCTTCCAAGAAGGCATCTCTAAGCTCCCAGCAGGCTTAATCACCTCTCCTGTGTGTTCCTTGGGTCCTGTGCCTCCCTCTGCTAGCACTTACCTATTATATTAAAATATCTGTCTAAGAATCTTTTCTACTACACCATAATGTCCTTGAGGCCAGGGAGCACCTAACTCAGTGCCTAGCAAATAGGACGCATGTGGTATGTTTCTTGAACTAGACAAGAAGACTGCCTGTGAAGTATGCATTTGTTCCCCAAAGAGGCAAGTGATATCTTAGGCCAGCCTTTTGGAACCAACATTTCATAAAAACAATTACAAAGAAGGATTTGGACTTAATATGCTATGAGTTCCCAGGGGCAATAAAACTTCTGGAAGGAATATGGATCAAGATAATACTTCTTGCTGTCAGTTTTTTTTCTCTGAATGGATTCTTTACCAATGAATAGGCTCATTGATTAAGAATTATAATAAAGCCCTTGCTCCTATCCCCAAATATTGGGGTACCATTTGTTGCAATATATGAGAAAAAGTACCATAGGAAAGATCTAGATTTTGATTAAGCAAACTATTCCATCACTTTAGTTTATAGAGAAGTATAGTATGAGATAGCAGTCCAAGGTCACACTGCAAAGTACAAGGGGGAGTTTATTAAATGCCAAACCCCTTTACAAGAAGGAATCTGACCTAACCAGGAAGTAGAATGGGGAGGGACTGCAATATAATAGTGCATTTTTCTTAGTGAAAAGGCTTTGATCCATCTTTTGAGCTGATAAAAGTTCTGAGTCCTACAACGCCTCTGCTCCCCATTCTTTCACTCTCATCTTTTTCTTCTAACCTGTCTTCTAAAGAAAGGAAGGGAAGGGAGGGCTTAGATAGAGAGCAGAGTGAACTGAAGAACCACTGTAGATTTTGGTTCATTTGTTTTGCCCTGTCTCAGTCACCCTGTAAAATAAAACCAATTCTCCATCCATACATAGGGCACATGAGTCATAGTATTTGGTCAGTTTATTTTCAGTAAATTCTCTATAATAAACAATTACACATAAGCGCTCTCAGCTTGTCCATGGAAGTCTTTGTTGGAAATGAGTAGGAGAGCACCACTTACCAAACAGCAAATACCTTTCAGCTCTCCTTAGTCATTATGCTTCTGTCATTTAAATCCTGCACAACGTGGTTGGAAAGTAGGGATGGGAAGCTGTAGCTGGGTTCTCAAGGGATAAAGCTAGAGGCAGGCCAGTGGTCAGGGGTAGAAGCAGATATGAAGAGGATATATTCAATTCAAGAATCATGACACTTAAGTCAGGCTAATCTGTTAGCTCAGGAGTAAGTAAACATATCCACTGGCCAGATGTGTCCGTCTCAGGTTGACTCCATCGGGAGACCTGCTGGTAGGGAAGACAAAGAATCCAGAACTAGGAGAGCAAATCCGCTATGGAGCTGGCCTCGAGAAGCTTTATCTGGAGGATTATGGGACTCTCAAGCTCCTTGTGTACTTGTTTTGTTAAGATAATGTGGGTGGAGCATGTGAGCAGGATTATCGAGGAGTGAGTGGCTCATCTAGTTTAGAACAGGACATTGACAGTAGACAGTAGCTTGCAGGACGAGAAACATAGTGCCAGAACCCCAGGCATAGGAGCTGATATTTAGGGAAGGTCTTCATTCCAAGCAGGGGGCATAAGGTGTGATTCAGAAAAAATAGGTTGAACTCTGTTAAAACACAAAAAGGATTTGAGAGGAAGGTGTTCAGAGGCTTACCTCCCTATTTCAAAATTCTTCAATCTCCACTGCCAACACCCAGAGGAAGTTTAGATTCCACTGTATATTTCTGCCTATGCTCTAGAGTAACTCAAATGCTCAGCATGTGGTGTCTCACCCAAGGTCCCTCTGTCCATGGCAAACTTGTATATTCATTGAGTAGTGGTTTTGCATTTAGAGCAAGTTAGGCCGTTGTCCATCTACTGGATGCACTAGTCATATTTCCTCCATGATGATCACATTACGGCCCCAGGAGGTGGGCGAAGAGGCAGTGATCCAGGCACTACACCTTGGTTGAGCAGAGTAGTCACAGGTTTTGAGGAAGTAACGGTTACAGATGGACCGTATAGACTAATTTGTCAAAGTGCTTCAATGCAATATATAAAAAGATTTGGGGAAGGTCCCTACACATGAAATGTATGGAATAAGCTGACTTTGCTGAGAAAGCATAGCAAAAAGGAGTCAAAGAGAAAGAACTCTGCTGCAGTCCTCATCAAGGAGAGGAAAACAGCCGCTGAACTCAAGTTTTTAGACCAAGAAATCCTACCATCTTAGAGTGGCGCTTTCAGCTCTTCATGGGGCCTGAATGAAAAATAAAAGCTCATCCTGTACTTTCACGCTAACTCACCAAATAACCGTCATAGCAGAAGTTTGGTGTCTTGAGTTTGCTCCTTTGCTAGAAAAGGAGAGTCCTGAGTGGACAAGGAGTCTGAGTTCTCAGTAAAGAATGGCCGCCATCCCTGTTTGTGTGGCAAAAATCAAGAAATAAAAATACTAGAAATAAGGAGATAAATAGGAAAACAGTAGCACGAACCAAGTCCTACCCTCCCCCAATGCCAACACACACACACACCCCCTAGAACAAAGAAGTCACAGACCATTGGGCTTGTCCATGGTAGGATGACCACAGGGCCAGGATTGGGACCAGGAATAGGGCCAGGTCCTGCTTTGGTGGTTAAGGGATCAGTGGACGTCAGCAACACACGAGTCCTCCCCTATCCACGGTTTTGTTTTCACGATTTCCATTACCCACGGTCAACCGCAGTCTGGAAGCAGATGACCCTCCTCCTGATGTATCATCAGAAGGTCAATAGTAGCTTAACACTATGTCACAACACCTATGTCATGCACCTCACTTCATCTCATCATGTAGGCATTTTATCATCTTATGTCATCACAAGAAGGGTGAGTGTAATACAATAAAATATTTTGAGAGAGAGACCACATTCACGTAACTTTTATTACAGTATGTCGTTATAATTGTTCTATTTTATTATTGGTTATTATTGTTAATCTCTTCCTGTGTCTATAAGTTAAATTTTATCAAACATATGTGTGGGAAAAAGCATAGTATATATAGGGTTCAGGCATCCACTGGGGGTCTTGGAACATATCCCCGGTGGGTAAGGGGGACTGCTGAACTTTTGGTCTAGCCCTTTGGGTTACTCTGTAGCAGCATCAGTCACTCCTATGAGCAAGGATCATGGTGTATAAAGCTTATATATAAAAAGGAATGGAATAGGCAATGTTTTAGTTTCTGACTACAGTACATTTGTGTATATAGAAATTGCTTTTGAATAAGTATCTTCTAGATATTTAAAAAAGAAACTTGGTTACCTTTAATGTAATTTTAACACAAATAGCATCTGCTTTACTTCTTCTATTTCTCCAGGAATTACCTCCTTATAACGGTTATGGACTTGTTGAAGACTCTGCTCAGAATTGCTTTGTTCTCATTCCAAAGGCTCCGAAAAAAGATGTTATTAAAATGCTGGTGAACGATAACAAGGTGCTTCGTTATTTGGCTGCACTGGTGAGGATGATTTCTGTGTGCTCAGATTCCGTTCAGTCTCAGTACTGTGCCCAGTGGTCCTTTTTGTCTGTTAAGCTGTAGGGTAACAGTCTTCAGAGTCGTGTGTTATTTAAACAGCCACGGGACCCAGTCCCCAGCCTTTGGGTGGGTTGGGTAGTGTTAGCAGTGGTGCCCTGAGCCAAGACCTAGCTCTAGTCCTATCTCCTGGAAACATCGTTCTTAGACTGTTAATCTCTCCCTTCTACCCCTCAAATTTTGACTGACCTTTTTGCCTTTTTTATTAAGTAATTATGAAAGTCTGACACAGTGAAATTATCTGTGTACTTGTGTGCAATCGAGTGTACTGTGATTTCCTTGAGGGAGGGACCATATCTTACTAATTTTTATCATTACTTGTGATATCTAGCTTGATGTATTTTGTATTTCTTAAATGTAATAAATGGGATCCTACCAATTTAATAGATAATTGCCTTTGAAAGGTCATATGGCTAGTGGATTAAGAGCATGGGTTTGGAAACAGACATAAATTTAAATCCTGAATATTCCACTCATTGGCTGAGTTACCTGAGGCAAATTACTGATAGGAGTTCAAAGGGTAATGTCTTTAAAAATGGAAAGAATACAGAAATAGGAATATAAGCATTCTATTTAGAAATATGGATATAAATAGAAATTGAAATAAGCTACTTCTGGGAATAGGAATTGGGAGTGTGGGAGGTGGGCCAAGTGATTTTTCAAACTGTATGCATATATTTGAAAAAATAAAAATTAAATCAAGACATAGTTGACTACTATATTTTAGAAAAATGTTGAACAAAGCTTTAAATAAAAAGGAAGTTCTAGCAAACTCTAGGCCAAGTAGCATACTCCCTACTATAAAAATTCTGATTAATGAACCTTTTACAGTATTACCAAGTTCTCTCAGTTGGGAGGGCTTCCTAGTTTCCATCAACGTTCTGTTTCTTGACCTGGGCGGTGGTTCCACGAGTGTTCACTTAATGAAAATTCTTTGAACTGTACATTTTGGTTTTTTGCAGTTTTTCTCTATGCATGTTATAGTTCACAGTAAAAAGTGTATACATATAAAAGAAATAAAGTATGCTAAACCCAGACAGGCGGTTGGGGCCTAAGTGCAAGTATGGCTAGTGAAGTATCTGGGGCTCAGGGTGGAGTGCCGGTGGAGGGACTTGGGGAAGCTCGAGAAGGTAAGAACTCAACTTGAGCAGTGGTCTCCACAGCAGCAGGCTTGACCTTCCAAGGAGCCTGTGGACAGCTTATACTCCATGGACGCTCTGAAGAAAATGTTACAGCCTCTGCTTATAATTTATCAGGAGTGTACTTTTTTTTTATAGCCCCTGATGTTTTTATATGTACTTTGTAGGGCACAGAACATGTTTATGTAGAAGAATAGATGTTGAATTATTCATCCATTCAACAAATATTAGAGAATGACTTTGGGCTTGGCATTGTTCTAGGCATTGAGGGTACAGTGGAAAACAAGACAGACAAATCTCTGGCCTTGTGGAGCTTACATTCCAGTTAAGGGTATTCTGGTCAAGAGTAAATACATCATCAAAGAACAAGTAGTAAGCGTGCTGTGAAAAGTAAAGCAGGAGACAGAGTGATGGGGAGGCGCTCGTTTAACTGGTCAATAAGGAAAATGCTGGGGAGGGGACGCACAGCTGAGTGGAGACCAGAATGAATGGCCTAGGGAGCTAGCCAGCAGCATATCTGAGGGAACTGCATTTCATGCAGATGTGGTGTACAGGGAATGGAGGCTAGAGAGAGAGAAATGAAGACAGGATCAGGCACCAGCTGAGAGTCTTACAGCTAGTGGCCTAACAAGGCCAGAGGCATAGAGTGGTGGGAGTAGTCACCCATGATGCAGGTAACAAGGGATGTAGGTAACAAGCCTGCAGACAATTTAAAAATAAACCCAAAAGTTGATCTGCTTCTTACTCTCATTGTGTGCCTGTAATTCTAAATATCAGCAATACAATACTCATCCTCAGGCTGTGCCTCTGTACAGTGGAAATTTCAGTTACTAAATGTGGAAGAGAAGAGGGCAATAAAAAATTACCATTAAGCACATACCACAACAATAATGATTGCAGAGAGTATCCATCAGTGGATGCTAAAATTACCGGAAAACCTTTGAGGAGAAACAGGATTTTCATAGTTTCAAGGTGTGTTTCTTAAGATATTTATCAACTGCAAAGGGAAAGGTGGTAATTTTAGAAGGGAGAAACCCAGCATTTCTCTTCTTACCCACGTGACCAAGGTCAACATCACCAATAATAAAACCTATTGATATCGTGAACTCCTTGTTACACTCTGAGAAAGACAAGATATTCTGTCTCTGGTATTTTTGCCAAAGATGCAAAAATGAGATGCACAAGGGACATTGAACAAAATAATTGACCATTGCTCTTCAAAAGTGTCAAGATTATGAAAGACAAGGACAGAATGAGGAACTGTCACAGATTGAAGGAGATCAAAGAGAAAGAACAACTAAATGCAATGTGAGATCCTGTATAGGATCCTGAGTCAGAAAAAGAACATAAGTGAAAAACAGGTGAAATTTGAATAAGAACTGTGATTTATTTAATAGTATTGTGCCATTACTATTTACCGTTACTGTTGTACCATTACTCTGGGTCTGATAATTGTATGGTTATGTAAGTTGTATAAGATGCTAATGTTAGGGGAAGCTTGGTGAGGAGTATATGAAAATTCTCTATTGTTAATGCAACTTTACACTTAGTCCTAAATAAAAACATAACGAATTTTTTTTTTAACTTTTAAAACACTCCTAAAATACTCCTGCCAGGATGAACCATTGGCTCTGTCCCCTCCTACCCCCATGGTACAGACCTGCCTGTCGCCGTGCTCAGAACTTCATATTTTTTCAGTGTGACGGGAGTCCTCTGGAGGTTTGAGAGCAGAGGAGTGATGTGATTTGATTTTTATTAACTATATTGTGGATGTTTGTTTAAAAATTTTTTATTGTTAGAGTCTAATTGAAAAAGTTTGGAGACTGTTAGATTAGGGAATGGTATGAGGAAATTATTTGACAAGAGGAAACCCAGTGACTTTCTTTGATAAACAAGAAATTATTATACAAGAAATTCCATGTTGTAAATGAAAAGATATGTGCTGAAGTCGCAATTTGAGAGGATTTTAGTCAAGAATAAGCATGTCTATATTTAAGCTTGTTCAATCTGGAATTGGTTTCTTAGGGTTATGTGATCACTCTCAGTGATTTGATATAGGAACAGTCTTACTACAAGACAGTTTGCCAGAATCAACTTCAACTCTATGACATTATATTACTCATTCCTCCTTTCTTAAATCTTCTTAATAAATTATGTATATCAATGGATTTGTTTAAAGAACTAAACTTTGCATAATCATCTTAGTGTCTGTGAAACTGAACATGTCAGCCAAGAGGTCTCAAACTGTGGGCAGCCTGTGGGCAGAACATAGCCCACATGTTTTATTTGGCACACATAGTGCTTTAAAAGAGTTAAGGTCGACATTTTTTTTTTAAGATTTTATTTATTTATTTGAGAGAGATAGAATGAGAGATAGAGAGCACGAGAGGGAAGAGGGTCAGAGGGAGAAGCAGACTCCCTGCTGAGCAGGGAACCCAATGTGGGACTCGATCCTGGGACTCCAGGATCATGACCTGAGCCGAAGGCAGTCGCTTAACCAACTGAGCCACCCAGGCGCCCAGGGTCGACATTTTTAAATCAGGGGTTTTATTTTTTTTCCGAGTTTTTGTTTAACTTCCACTTAGTTAACATACAATGTAATATTAGGTTCATGTGTAGAATTGTGATTCATCACTCACATACAACACCCGGATTTCTGTCTTCCCGTGAGAAATGGGAAGATCCCACAACATTGAGCTTACATTTGCACAAGGCAGCAACCAGTCGGAGTTGAGTTGGGGCAGCCTCCTTTAGATGAGGCATGTCCTTTCCAGACCACCACAGTCCCCGTCCCCCATCCTGTTCACTTACATTATACTTTGTGTATTTGGTTTATATTTTATACCTTGTCCTGTAGAATCTTAAGTTTGGAACATTGGGGTCTATCATGTACCTTCATAATAACTTCCTTTCTTCTCCTGTCTAGGAATCTCCCATCCCGGAAGACAAAGACCGCCGATTTGTCTTCTCTTATTTTCTTGCCAGTGACATGATCAGTATCTTTGAGCCACCTGTCCGCAATTCTGGCATCATTGGGGGCAAGTACCTTGGCAGAACTAAAGTTGCTAAACCGTCCTCAACAGCGGAAAACCCCATCTACTACGGCCCGACTGACTTCTTCATTGGTGCTGTGATTGAGGGTAGGTCGAAGCACAGCTTAGTGTTTCCTACCTGCCAAGTGAATGGATTCTTCTTAGTGGGAATTTAATTCGTTTAACTTGTAAGAGGCAGTTAGGCTGCATTCCACCTGAACTAAAGCTAATATTCTTGTATATGTGATAACAGTGTCTTGATCCATGTCAATTAAACTGTAAGGTGGTCGCGTTTGTGGGCTATAGATGTAGACCCCGAGCTTCCTGAACACTGAGCGAACTACTGCATATTAGTTTAGAGAGCTATGGAATGTTCCTTCGTCTAGGTCACAGATGCCTATCTGTGACCTTGTCATTGGAGGATCAGTATTATTTTACCCCTAATGGCATGATTAAAACCATAACCAAGCTAAGTGTATTTCTACCATCTCCCCAGTGTTTGGCCACCGGTTTGTCATCCTTGACACAGACAACTATGTTTTGAAGTATATGGAGAGCAATGCTGCCCAGTATTCACGAGAAGCACTCTTGTCCATTCAGAACCGTGTTCAAAAGCAAGAAGGTCCTGCGCCAGAATTGGAAAAGTATGTTTGACCGTCTAAGGTCCAATTTGGCTTTGGCACATATAAGATATTTAGGAAATAGTTCTTGATAAAATGAATGGGTAATAGACGTTTAGATTTTCCTCACCAAATGGGAGTTATTAGACATACACAGAAGGTTCTCTGGGGGTCCATTATAATAACTAGTAACTTAGAACTTTTTTAACTTCATTTATTTAGCAAATAATTATTGAATGCCTAATATGTATTAGATACTATCACTAGGCCCTTGGGCTTTTATCAGTCAACAGAATAGACAAGAAGTTGCTGCTCTCCTGGAGTTGACCTTCTAAGCAGTAGGAGAGGGAGACAACCAATACAACACAAGTAAACTGTATAGCACATTAGGGGATGAATGCTATGGAAAATGGAGAATAAGAGTGATAAGGATTTCTGCAGGATGATGGTGGGTAACAGTTGATCTGGGGAGCCAGGTACACCTTGAGAAGGTGACAGTGAGGAAACACTTGAAAGAAAAGGAGTCAGGTGTGTGGCTATTTGGAGGAGGAGCTTTCCAGGAAGAGGGACTGGCGAGTGCCAAAGCCCAGCCTGCCCAGAGTTCTGGAAAGAAGCAGGCCAGTGAAAGCAGCAAGAGTGAGGGAGTGAGAGAAAGAGGAGGAGGTGGGGTTAGAACATAGGCCCGTAAGAAGGGGCTAGATCCTGTAGGACCCACTGGGTCTTTGGAAAGATGTTGACTTTTCTCTGAGTAAAATGGAGAGCCACTGTGGGGGTTCTTGGGAGAGGACTGGCCAGATTTGGCACGTGTTTTACAAGAACTCGCCTGGCTGCTGTGCTGAGACTAGATCAGGAGGGAGACCAGTTAGGACCATGTCATAGTAATCCGGGCAAGAGGTGAGGGTGTGTGGACCAGGTGCATCAGTGAACGTGGAGAAAAGTCTGAGTCTGGATATATTTTGAAGGTAGAGCCAATAGGACTTGAGACAGATTATACAGAGGATATAAGACAGTAGTTAAGAATGACTCTAAGGTTTTTGGCCTAAGCAACTGGAAGGAAGGAGTTGCCATCAACTGAGATGGGGAAGATGTGCATTGTGGGTAGCAGAGGAGGGATTTTTTGGTTGGGGGAAGGATTTCGGTTTAACTATTGTAGGAGTGCTGACCACACTGACTCCATCTTTGGCCCTCCATTTTGTTCATGTCCACGCAACATCCCCCCTCCGGGCTATGTGTTCCTGGTCCCGTGGAGGTTAATGTCTGCCCTGATGGGATTGCAGGAGGCTTGTTCTGATCTTCCCTAAAGTGGTGAACAGAAGACCCCACTTTAGGTAATTAGTAGAGATGGCTGGCCCACAGAAGGCCCCACTTTAGGTAACTAGTAGAGATCCTTTGGTGCACAAATGGCACCAAGGATAGCTGATAGCTGCCCTGTGACCTCACCACCATGCCCCTTGCTCCATAAAAGCTGGAGATTGAAGTCCTGAGTGGGTGGAGAAGAGGGGCCGAGAATAGCCGAGTGCTGCCTGGATCATTCCTGTCTGTATCCGTCTCCCCAATCCCCCCTGTAAGTTATCCTGAAAGAAACTACGTAAATGGGATGGAGTGGCTTGCTTTTTCAGTCTTAAAGTGCCTTTACATTATAGAGGATACTTTACTGACCCTCTTCCATCTTCTAACAGTATCCTGGGTTTAAGGTATCTACGCATATCCAGGTGGAACTGGCCATTGGATATATAAATCTGGCTTTCAGGCAAGAGGTCTAAGCTGGGGATGTAAATGTGGAAGTTGTTGGCATATAGATGATGTTTCAAGCCACAGGACTGGGTGAAATCTCTAAGGGAGCAGTGCAAGTAGAATAGCTCCCAGAACTGGGCTCTGATGTCCTCCCACAGTAAGCGTTGAGAGAGGAGACTGGGACGTCAGCTAGCGAGGCAGGAAGAGAAGCAAGTGGGTGTGGTGGCCTGGAAGTCAGATGAGGGAAGTGCAGGCCACCCTCCCTTTGCATGGAGCTCCAACTTTAAAAGCAACCATGCCAAACAGTCTTAATAATCGATGGGAAAATTTACTGTTCTGTGACCTTTAAAAATTTCTGTCAAAACATGAAAAACTCTGATGGTTATATATGTATAAGGAAGTGAAAAAATAGTAAGACCAATTTGTATTTAGTACACCAATTTTTTTAAAAACAGGCGGGACACCTGGGTGGCTCAGTCAGTTGAGCGTCCTATGCTTGGTTTCGGCTCAGGTCATGATCTCAGGGGTGTGAGATCGAGCCCCTCATCGGGCTCTGTGCTCTTGCAGAGAGTCTGCTTGAAATTCTCTCTCCCTGTCCCTCTGCCCCTTCCCCTACTCACATGCACACTTGTTCTAAGTCTTAAAAAAAAAAATTGTTGGGGGCGCCTGGGTGGCTCAGTTGGTTAAGCGACTGCCTTCGGCTCAGGTCATGATCCTGGAGTCCCAGGATCGAGTCCCACATCGGGCTCCCTGCTCAGCGGGGAGTCCGCTTCCCACTCTGACCCTCCCCCCTCTCATGCTCTCTCTCTATCTCATTCTCTCTCTCAAATAAATAAAATCTTTAAAAAAAAAAAAGTTGGCAACATCAAGAATTAAAGTGTTTTACTTCTTTGTAAAATAAACTTGCTGAGACAAGGTTGAACACTGCTTGCCTCATTCTTGTCACATAACCAGAGCAAATATCTTTTCTATGCCTTGGCAAATTGGCATATTCCTTTCTAATTTTGGATCAGCTTTCAACATTTTATTATTTTTGCTTTCGATGTTGTGAAATATCTCCTCGTGTTCCTTTAACAACCGTGAAGTACCTCTGAGAGTTCTTTTAATGTGAAGTTTCTCGATGCATCTGGGAGACGCTTGTCCTTCCCACGTACCCGCTGTCCTCATTCAGGCCCTAAGTCGTCCTTCCCCTGGCTGAGCACTGCGCTGACAGTCCCCGTTCCTAGGTGGCTACTTCTATACCTCCATTATGTTAGATTCCATTTCTACATCCAGTGTTAGCACTTTTGTGTCTTTGCTTCACTTTCACTTTTCTTCGCCAATTTCCTCTTTCAGTGATTCATTTCAAATATACATTTTGCTGTCTGTCTGCGAGCTAAAAAACAGATGCTCAGGGGCCAGTCGCTGACAGACTTTGAAACAAATGAGATGATTGTCACTGCTCACTGTGCATGAGTTGTTTATGTGGTAGTCGGTGCACTGAGCAGCCCAGCAGTGAGTTTGTGCTTCTTGTAATTCCTCACAGTTAAATGCGGTAACTGGAATTTGAACCATGTTGTTGAGGGACTGGGTTATTTAATTAAACAGTGTTAACTGAAATTCACCCTTATCAGAGCCCTGCAAAGGGACAGCTGCCTATATATCAAGGAAGACAGGATTCATTTTGTCGAATGGGGATTTAACAATGTGGGGGGATCCAAGTGGGATTTCCCCACTTCAGGGGAATGGGAAGAGCAGGAAAATCCAACGGGAGGGGATTTAAGAGAGAGTGGGAGGATGGCAACTACTTGTGGTGAGCATATCATAAGGTAGAAACTTGTGGAATTACTATGTTGTGCACAGGAAACTAACTGTGTGTCAACTATATGGAAATAAAATTAAAGAAAAAAAAAGAGAATGAATGGGAGGAGAGGAATTTGAGACTGGAAGTATGGACAACTTTTTTGAGGAAGTTTTGTGCAAAGGGGAAGAGACATGGGCAGTAGCTGACAGAGGAACAGGAGAAGTTTTTGTTTATTCTTAAGATAAAATAAACAGCATGTTTATACATAAATGGGAATGATTGTGCAGAGAGGGAAACTGACATATGTGTAAGAGGGGAGCTTTGTGGAGTGTGTGTGAGAGATGGGACATGGAACCTGGTGAAGGAATGAGCTTTAAGATAGAAGCACCAAGCATTCATCTGGTGGTCGTTCTCAAACTCTTTGGTCTCAGAGCGCCTGTCTACTCCTAAAAATTAGGGAGGACCACAAAGAGTTTTTTTGTGTGTGGTTTATATCTATCAATATTTACCATAATAAAAATTATATCTGAGAAATTAAGAATAGTCATTAATTTGTTTCAAAAAATAATAAACCCATTCCATGTTAACATAAATAATAGTGTTTTATAAAAAAATAACTATTTTCCAACAGTCAACAAAACAAAGAGGCAACCCACAGAATGGGAGAAGATATTTGCAAATGACACTACAGATAAAGGACTGGTATCCAGGATCTATAAAGAACTTCTCAAACTCAACACCCAAAAAACAAATAATCAAGTCAAAAAATGGGCAGAAGGCATGAACAGACACTTCTCCAAAGAAGACATAAAAATGGCTAATAGACACATGAAAAAATGTTCATCATCATTAGCCATCAGGGAAATTCAAATCAAAACCACCCTGAGATACCACCTTACACCAGTTAGAATGGCAAAAATTGACAAGGCAGGAAACAACAAATGTTGGAGAGGTCGTGGAGAAAGGGGAACCCTCTTACACTGTTGGTAGGAATGCAAGTTGGTACAGCCACTTTGGAAAACAGTGTGGAGGTGCCTCAAAAAATTAAAAATAGAGCTGCCCTATGACTCAGCGATTGCACTACTGGGTATTTACCCCAAAGACACAGATGTAGTGAAAAGAAGGGCCATATGCACCCCAATGTTCATAGCAGCGATGTCCGCAGGTAGAGCGGACTGTGGAAAGAGCCAAGATGCCCTTCGACAGATGAATGGATAAAGAAGATGTGGTCCATATATACAATGGAATATTACTCAGGCACCAGAAAGGATGAATACCCAACTTTTACATCAACATGGATGGGAGTGGAGGAGATTATGCAAAGTGAAATAAGTCAAGCAGAGAAAGTCAATTATCATATGGTTTCACTTATTTGTGGAACATAAGGAACAGCATGGAGGACATTAGGAGAAGGAAGGGAAAAATGAAGGAGGGGCGGAATTGGAGGGAGAGATGAACCATGAGAGACTATGGACTCTGAGAAACAAACAGGGTTTTATTTATTTTT